CAGACAAGCCTCCCCGTGCCCCCACCCCCCACCTCCAGTCGATGAGCAGGTCTATCCCTGGATTCTTCCTGGTTTCTGCGGGCTCTCTCCGTTCTCTCGGTACCCAGCTGTGCGTGCCCCTCTCTCCAGCTCCCTCAGTCCCCTCCTGGTGCCCCACTGTGTTTCATTATTCAGGAGACAACCCTGCAGATGCTGTCACCCCTCAGCGAATTGGCTTACCTCTGGGCTCCCCCCATTTTCCCTGGTACCTCCAGCTGAGGTCTCTCACAATCTCTCCACCGCTCCCCTGTGTCCTGCTGTGTGGTCTCCCCACTTCCCAAAGGCAGCTTTTAGCTGACCCCCTCACTCCATGGGTGCTATGGGGCTTTCCCCCGCTCCGTCTCTTCAAGTGGGTTCCTCAATACCCTGAATTTTAACCCCGATTTCTGTGTGGTCCCAGGGCACGTGTGTGCTCTCTCCCTGGCAGGGTGAAGATGAAGTAGAGCTCTGACCATGGACCATGACGCCCCCACGATCAAGCCCCGCCGCATCCAGAACCAGAATGTCATCCATCGCCTGGAGCGCCGCCGGATCAGCTCGGGGAAAGCGGGCACCCACTGGCACCAAGTCCGCGTCTTCCACCAGAACGTCTTCCCCAACTTCACTGTGGTCAACGTGGAGAAGCCACCCTGCTTCTTGCGCAAGTTCTCCCCTGACGGCCGCTACTTCATCGCCTTCTCCTCTGATCAGACCTCTCTGGAGATCTACGAGTATCAAGGCTGCCAGGCGACAGAAGACCTCCTGCAGGGCTACGAGGGAGAGATCCTGGCCAACGGCAACGACCAAAGATCTGTCAACATCCGGGGACGGCTTTTTGAACGCTTCTTTGTCCTGCTCCATATCACCAACGTCGCCTCCAACGGAGAACACCTGAACCGCGAGTGCAGCTTGTTCACTGACGACTGTCGGTATGTGATCGTTGGCTCCGCCGCCTACCTGCCAGAGGAGCCTCACCCTCCCTTCTTTGAGGTCTACCGCAACAGCGAGTCAGTGACCCCTAATCCCCGGTCCCCCTTGGAGGATTATTCTTTGCATATCATAGACCTCCACACGGGCAGGCTCTGTGACACACGGACTTTTAAATGTGACAAAGTCATCCTGTCTCACAACCAGGGGCTGTACCTCTATAAGAACATCTTGGCCATTCTCTCTGTGCAGCAACAGACTATTCACGTCTTTCAGGTAACACCTGAGGGTACGTTCATCGACGTACGGACTATCGGCCGCTTCTGCTATGAGGATGATCTCCTGACCCTGTCTGCGGTGTATCCCGAGGTGCAGCGGGACACTCAGACGGGGATGGCCAACCCCTACAAAGAGCCCTTCATAAACTCTTTGAAGCACAGGCTGTTGGTGTACCTGTGGAGAAGGGCCGAGCAGGATGGAAGCGCTATAGCAAAAAGAAGGTTCTTCCAGTACTTTGATCAGTTGAGGCAGCTCCGCATGTGGAAGATGCAGCTTTTGGATGAGAACCATCTGTTTATCAAATACACTAGTGAAGATGTGGTCACTCTGCGGGTGACGGATCCTTCCCAGGTACTGCTCCAGCCTCCTCGGGCTGCTTGTTGCTCTGGGGCAAGCGCTCAAGCAGGTACAATGCTGTGAGCTGCGTTTCTTAGCTGAGCTTGTGAATGTTGCTTAGGATCCCTGGCGCTTTGTTCTTGCGTCAACATTTGACGCCTCTGATACCGAATCACTTTTGTATCTTTTGCTCTCCTAATTTCATTGCTTCCTTCTCAAGTGAAAAGGAGAGAGAAAAGGTCTGACGTGGTTATCGGGCCCCCTTTCTCCAGGGATTGTTCCCCATGCTCATAGGTGCTGTACAACCCGCTTCCCCTCCCAGATGCCCAGCTGATTCCTTTTTTTCCAGCTGATATTTCACATAGTGCACTTATATTGTAAACATAGTGTCTCCCTTTTCTCATGTATCTTAAAGCACATTTTTCAAGTATAATAGTCTTAATTTTTCCCCAGTAAAATTACCTTTTCTGTTCTGCCTACCTGCTTTTCCAAGCTTCAGTGAGAGGCAGCGTTTACGCTCTCTCCAAACCGGGGTAGCAGCGCTTAGATCTGGCTGATGTGCCAATCGCTTCTCCTTTCAGCTTAGTTCTAAAGAAGCTGAATGAGAGCAAACGTAGCTCAGTCTGTTTCACCACCCCGCAGGTTGATTATCTCTCTTTACTACTCTTAGAGTGGTGGTCGGGTTTTAAGCTCTGTGAAACTGAGAAGGATGTTTTTTAATCTGCTTGGGTTTTGTTCTGTTGAAAGTATTTAGTGAGAATTTGTAATAAATCTCCAGTGCTGCATGTAGACCTGATTGTTTCCTAGATGTTTTCCTGTCATACCCTTCTCTCCCTCCCAGTCTTTGACAGATCCAGGACTTGGATCCTAGAAGAAACAGACAGTAGTTCCTTGCGTGTTGTCTTAGTCTAATTCTTCCTGGAAGATGACTCTGTTTTGTTTTATTTTTCTCTTATGTGATGTTTGTTTGGCAGAGTTGCTTTGGGGAAGCAATAGGTTAAGGCTTAATCTAGCAATTTTACCCACTTGTATAAAACTGGGTGACTGTCTCAGAAATCTTAAAGCTTTGTGGAAGTGGCCTGCAGCATTCCTCTCGTTGCCGGTGTCTGGAACAGTGCTCCTGACCCTGATGTAAATGGTGGTGGTAGGCTTGGCTCCGCTCTCTGCTGTGGTTACCAAGGCTTTTGTGCCTGGTTTGCTGCAGCGTGCTCTTGACTCTCTTCACCCGAGGGTTACTTTAAGATGCAGGTTGTGGTTTGTTTGTGGTGTTGCTCAGGCAGCGTGGTTTATGCTGGAGGAAAAGCATCTCATTTCTCCGTTCTTTCAGGAGATAATTCCAGATGTGGAGCGGTCTCTGCAGACCTCCCTGAGCGTAGGTTTTGTTCTAGGGCTTCCTGAAGAAACTTTGGCTCAGAAAATACCTAAAGCTCCAATATTTCTTTCGTCTATCAGTGAGGAACATGAGGTTTCATCCGATTCTGGCTCATCTCTTCTGTCTTTTCCCAAGAAGGTTGGGGAAGTTGCTGTTCATGTTGTTTGTACATTGTAAGGGTCTGCACCAAATCCTTGGAGGTCATTAATCATGTGCTATGTATACATAGCTTGGGGTTTGTTGTTGTTTGTGGCTGGTGTCGATAGACTTGGCAGCTCTGCTGCCTGACTCCTGTGACACTTGACTGCTGCCCCCCATGCTGTGACAATGTTCTGCCTGTGTTGCAGGTGCTGCTAAAAAGCAGGGAGGGTGGTTTCTCTGGTCAGGGGCATCCTGTGGATGGGTTTGTGCGTTACCCTGGTAAAGGAACATTTTGTTTAAGCTGGGAGGATACTCCCTGCAATCTTCAGTGATGTAAATAGTTTTTCCTTCTGCTGTCTCCTCTTATTTTCTCTCTGCTCCAACCCTGTTTTTCAGAAGGGCTTCCCTTTCCTTAGGCAGTAGTCTAGTGAGTAACCTCGCCTAGCGCGCTTCATTTTGACATGTGGGGGCTGGATTGTATTATCACAATTTATTTTGGGGCTGTAAAGCAAACAAAACTTGCGGTATTTGCAGGTGGGTGGGGTGGGCAGAGTGCCTGCTGTCATCCCTGAGCATTGTTGGGGAGCAGGAGGTGAAGCGTTTAGAAATTGCCTTTATTGGGAGAAGAGTTAACCAGATATGTGCATACACCACTGGAGTTAGTTACCTTTGAAAGCAGGGGCAGTTTCTGACTTTGGGTTGCCAGGGTGTTAGCCCTCGTGTCCCTAATAAAAGCTACCTTTGATGACCAAGGATTAAATGTGCCCTTTCCAAATGGGACGGGAACGTTGTCTCCCTTTAATGTAGCCGCGCTGACACAATGTCATCTTTTTCCCCTGATTCCTTGCTTGTTCATGCCATGGAACACTGCTCTTGCCAATCCGCAGCGTGGTACCTGGGCCTTCTTGCACGAGAACGTTGGCATTAAAAAGGAGTCATTAATGTCTTTCAGATTTTCATTTCTGTGCCGGCAGGGTACTTGGAGGGCACAACTTTTTGTGGGCAGTGGTGTAGTGCGCAGTACGCTAAAAAGGCTCATCTCTGTGTGAGGGAAATATTAAGAAGGGGAAGAAAATAATGTCTCTATGCGAAGTAAAAAAAAAAACGATTTGTGGCCAGCTAGCACTGGATTTAAAATCGTTTTGTCAGCGGGAATGAAAATTAAATTTGGCACTTCAGAGAGCGGTTTGGATTTGGTGGCGGGCAGAGAGGAAGAGAAAACAGAAATATTGACATCCAGTTTGAGCTGAATAATTGGAAGCCCATTAAGTTTTCTTCATAAATAAGCAGGGTTAAGGGGTAGGTAATTTGGTACCTGTTGAGGCATTCGAATAGCGCAGTGGATTAGTGTGAGGATGTGGGATTCTCCTGCACCGTGGAGAAATTTGGATAGGGTCTGCGGTGTCACGCGGGGGGAAGGAAGGGACAGCTTCCCCACCCGCGCTCTCCTGGGTAACCGCTGCCTCTGCCTCTCTCCCCAGCCTTCGTTCTTCGTCGTGTACAACATGGTGACCACGGAGGTTATTGCCGTGTTCGAGAATACGTCCGATGAGCTGCTGGAGCTGTTTGAGAACTTCTGTGACCTTTTCAGGAAAATGCACAGCGAGGCGGTCCAGTTCCCCTGCTCAGCTTCCAGCAACAACTTTGCCAGGCAGATCCAGCGCCGGTGAGCCATTTGGAGCATGCTTTGTAACGTATAGACGCACGCTCGCCCCCCGTCAGCTGAAGGCTAGTATCAAATATCGGCGGCATCCCTGAGAAAACCAGTTCTTTTACACGCTGGGTGATGCAAGGGCCTGGCTCGCGCGTGGCTCATCTTGCAGCCTCGTGCATCTGATTTTATATTCCACAGCACCCATCTTGTTCCAGGAAGGAACAAAGCAGTGGCAATCCAGTGCTTAGAAGAAGGAATTTTGACGGAAAGATGTTTCCAGCTCTCCTTGAGCAGTAACTTTTCTGGAGGCTATTAAAGTGTAATAACCAATTAAAGTGTAAGGCCTAGTAGCTTAGGTCCCTGAAGATAAGATTTGTCAAGGTGCTGGCGTCATCTAATTGGACGTATTTTGCCAAGTGTCATTCTCTGAATTTAGTGTGTATCACTGTTCTGCAGCATTTTCTCCAGCATCAGTCACAAGCTTGTGGTTCTTGTCAAACTGTGTTAGGAGAAAGGAAACTCATCTGCCTAGAGCTATTGTGAAGGCTGAGCAAAATATCAAAATAACCTGGTTTTCTAGAATGTGCTTTAACAGTCAAATGTGGTTTTAATGGGACAGAGAGTGTTATTTCTCTTGGAATATATTTTTATGTGACTCAGGGGGTTTTGTTCTTCCAGTGACTTGTTTCACATCATCCAAAGTACTTGGCAATCACTTATGGGCATGAAACTTCTGTTGATTTTAGGTTGACGTCACGTAAGTAAGAGGAAGTTGACTGTGTAGCTTTCTAGAGCTGCCTGTCAGGAAATCCATAATGCTTAGTGGGAGAGAGAATGAGAGAGCTCACCGCAGAGACCTGAAGAACAACTCCTGCCTTGTGTTTAAAGAGGAGAATCTTTTCATCCCCTTGGCTACAAGGGCCTGTAACAGGAGTGTTTAACTTCCACAGCAAAGTATAATAGAACATAATCCACAGTGAGCTGGCTTTTGGATGAGTGTTTTGGGTCAAATAGAAGTGTTTCACCCTCTTCGGTGTATGACATCTACGCAGCTGGTCTGACTGTTCTTGCACATGGAAAGCTCAAATTTTACTTGGAAAGAGAAATCCAACCTGTGTTAATCTCTCCACCAGGAAGAAGCACTGTAGTTTCTGAAGAGCTTTAGGTTTCTTGGTGATGTTCTTCCTCACCTATGGTCCCTCCCTTGACTCACAGTGGCTGGAGTGAGGAAGATTCTCATGTCAACATTAAGGGCTCAACCGTTACTGTGAAACCCTCTGGCTTTTGCTTATGCTGTTTCCAGGCTTCCTGGTAAAACTAGGATTGACCAATAAGATGCTAATCCATCTCTCCCTGTTTCTGATCCTGTTCATTTCCTGTACTGCAGAGCAGCTGGGGCCAGACCTTGTGGGTAGGCAGAGTCTTGTCCTTCTGTTGGTTTGGACTTTCAGAGCAGAAACAGTAATGATGAGGGAGGATAAAAAGGTCACTAGAACTGGTTGATGCTTGAATCACTGTGATACATCCTTGGAAATGAGCTGGTTTCGTTCTTACACTGCTGCTGGTTTTCTTTGCCTATCAGTTTTCCTCCTTAGTTTCTTTAAGCTGTGCTGTTCACCTGTGGCCTTTGTGAGTAAAACCCGTTTTTTGGTTTGCTGCAGGTTCAAAGACACTATCGTGAATGCCAAGTATGGAGGGCACACGGAGGCTGTGCGGAGGCTGCTGGGCCAGCTCCCCATCAGCGCCCAGTCCTACAGTGGCAGCCCGTACCTCGACCTCTCCCTTTTCAGCTACGATGACAAGTGGGTGTCAGTCATGGAGCGGCCCAAGACCTGCGGCGATCACCCTATAAGGTACGGAACGGGCCAAGAAGCTGCATGTGAGGAGAGCAGCGCGAGAGTGACTCGATCACCTCTGCCGTGTGGCATCAGATGTGCTGGAAAGGGAGTAGATGGAGGCCTTTCTCCTGTGACATGCTTTCACCAGAGGGTTTATTTCAGCAGTACCACAAAACCTGGCCTCTCTCCTTCCGATAACTGTTTCATCTTGTACGTGTGGGAGGGCTCTTCAGGTCTTCTCACTGAGCTGTCCTGGGGAAGGTTTGGGTAGTGAAGCTTGAGCCTTTTCCACATGAATGCTGCTGTTCCTCCTCCTCTTCTTGCAGTCCTGCTGTTGTGTTTGGGCTGCAGAGTGACGTGGTTCTGGATGCCTGCTTTCCTGTGCTGGAAGAATCCGTTTTGAGCACGTGGGTTTAGCTGGCAAGGATGATCTGGTTTGTCCTGTGAATAAAATAGCAGTGAGGTTAGTTGTTATTCAGAATGCTTGTGGTATTGATTTAGCTATTTTCAGACTTCCCTTGTTTACAGTTCTCGCCCTGGGAGCCATACTTTTCATACCCCCCTTCTTTCTGTGATCAGTAGGAAATTTGTTTCTGTAGTAGGAGTTTTAGCTGGGTGTAAGGGCCGTTCTGTGCCTCTTCTGTCCGAGTCTTTGATGCTGGCAGAAGGAGTAAGTCGGAGCTTGGGAATAAAGAGGTGTACAATGCTTCTTGCAGAAACATCAGGACTGTTTTTTGTTGTTGGCTGCAGCCATGGCTGCAAGTAGTGGTGGTTAAAAACCCAACATCTCTGGCCTGAAAGGCTCGAAGGGGCTGAGTTCTCCTGGCAGAATAATCTTTCCGCTTACAGTACCGCAAAAGCAAACCTATGCTCTGAAAACAAAGAGAGCCTTCGGTGCTTAAGTGCTTTGTTTAGTGACTGCGTGCACGTTGGGGGCTCAGGCAGCCTAGGGAGACCATTCTGGCTGGTTTCCCAACTTTATTTTCATCACTGCATTTTCAAAAAGTGGTTTCATGTCTCCCCTGGCCCTGACTCAGGTGGTGGGGAACCTCTGATTATTCCTGCGCTCTCAATTCCCAAATTATGTCTATTTAATTGATTTTTCTGCCTTTATGATTTGGTTTGATCTCCAACTCCCGTGTTATCTGCAGAGAAAAGCCTGCCCTTTCCCCCTTGTCACGCTTGACGTTGGGAAAACTCGCAGGGCGGCAGTTGTCTGCCAGCGCCAACCTGCGTACGGCTCCTGCAGACAAAAGGGAGCAGAACCGCAGTCATTCGCTGCGGTTATGTCTTTGTAGTAAACAAAGCCAAGTGCCACCTTCCCTCCCTCCCCTGAGCAAACCGGCATTGCAGAGCCAGAGCTTTTAAAGCTCAAAGCTGTGCAGAGTCAATTAGGACTCGAACAGGGCCTCGGAGCAGTGGGGCTCTTGGTTTTTGGAAAGGAAGCAGAAGAGGAGGTGCTAACCTTAACCATTCAGTCGCTGAAATAATGCTGCGGTGTTTCTCACAAGCAAAACAAAGGGATTAATAAAATAACGCCGCTGCCTGTTGTGGTTAGTGGGCTTGGAAATGAGGGGCCACAGGGTTTGTAATGTAAGTCCTATAATTGGCTGGAACACAAAACCCTTCAGCGGCTGAGGGTGTTACAATCCGTGTGCAGTTTCCTGGCACGTTGTGCAAGACAGGAAGGCCTCCGTACCTTTTACACATCTGTTTCAGCCCCTCCGTGCGCTGTGTCCTCTTAACCCTTAGTGCCTCTCTGCATCCCAGAAGGTTCAGCTCTCGACTCTGGCTACTTGAGAGACCAGTGGTTGTTTTCTCTCAGGTGGGAAGGACTTCAGGCTCACCACCACCGCCATCTTCCAGTGTCTTTTCAGGAGGCTTGAAGGAGATATTCACTGGGTGAAATGATGGCACTTGTGAGGAAGAGGCTCTAACACAGCCTTGCTTATAGTGGGGGGTCTCTAAAATCCATCTAGATGGCTAATAAAGAGCCATTTAACCAAAAAATTGGCCTGCAGATAAATCTTCCATTTTCATACAGTTTGAAAAGGCTGGTCTTGCTGTTTCTGTTGACATACAATTTTATATTGCAGTGCCTAATTTATCCCCAGAGTGAGAGCCCATGGAAATGGCCTCTGATTGCAGAGCACTTTTAAAAATAGATTTAAAAATACCAAACTGAGCACATCTTTGAGATTACAGGGAGCTTCATCTTGAGTAGTAAATTATTGTGAATTGGGGAGAGAGAGGAGAAGACGGGGGACTGTGCTTTATTTAAAGAATGACCCTCTGCATACCCAGCCTTGTGTAGGAGGGAAGGGGCTTTTTGAAAAGCCAAATACCAAGATTGTGACTCTCTTGCTGGGTTCTTGTGTGCAATTTTCAGGTAGGGCTGGCTGGCACTTTGATTCAGAGGAAGGGAGAGGAGAGTGGCACTCCAGGAAGAACATGAGGTTCTCAATAGGCTGTGTTGTTAAAATGTGGAGTATGTCTGCTCCTGAAACAGCATCGCCTGTATCTGTCATCACCCGTTCTTCCAGGCTGAGAGCTGAGTGCATCGTATTGCTGGCGGGGGGGAAATGTGCTGCGAGATTAAAAGCATTCTCTGAGTTAAAACCAGAGGAAAATGCAAAATACCCACATGGACTAAGTGATGGTGGAAAAGGAAACAGCTGGGAGGCAAAATGGCAATTCTCTGCCCAAAACTAAAAGAGCAGAGAAAATGGTCTAACGAACTGAGATAACTTTAGGGTGCAGACGAGTTAGAGCCCAGCTGCTTTGTGAAGTTACCACATCCAGAAACCGCCTCTACCACATCCCAGAAACCTCCACCAAAGTTTGGGGAGGGTGGGGTCGTTTTGGAGAGTCCCCCTTTCCCACCACAGCACAGGATAGAGACGGTACCTGGGCTGGCGTTGGTCACATGGAGTTTGCAGGGAAGGCTGAAGAAGCAAAGAGCTTCCTAGACTCGCTGGTCCCTTGACCTTTGCCTCATCCCCTCGGCGGCGTTGGCTTTGTGCTGAGGCTGTACCCCAGAGCTCACCTGCCTGCAGACTCTGAGCTTCACCCACGGGCAGGTTTGGGGGTGACAGCTGAAGGACAGAAGGTTTTCCTTGACCTCTGCCCTTCCGGTGATTGTTGAATACTACCCACCAGGTACCCAGCCTATCTTGTTAATGCTTTTTTGATGGAAAACCAGACGGAACTGCAGACCCTCGCTTGAACTGTAAAGTACAACTTTGCGCCCTTGAGCAGAATTGGATCCAGCCGTTCACCTTCCTCGACTGAATGGGGATGTAGAGAGGCAGAAACGCAGCAGTGTAAAGCCTAGCTGGCAGCACCAGTCGAGGAAAGAGATGGCCTTAGACTCAGAGTGAAGGCCATCGCTAAGGAAAGTGAGCTCAGCTCTGTACAGTAGATCTGCCTTAGGGATCAAGGGGAGCAGCTTGCATTAGGAGGGCATGGAGAGCCAGCACAGGCCGGGTCTGGACCAAACCTGTCCCCTCTTGTGAAGTCAGCTACATCCAACAAAACGAGAGGCAGAGTTGTCTCACTGATGATACTAAAATGAAGTCAAGCTTTTCTAGACAGTGGAAAACCAGCTGCCCCGGGAGGGACTTCCCTGTGTGTAGCCAAGAGCCAGACACCCAGCTGAGGACCTCCTGCCCCTGAGGGAGTACCAGAGATTAAACAAGGCACTTGTCTCTGTGTATGAAGAGCCCAATGGCAAAGGCAACAGTCGACAACAGCCATAATTGACTTTCTCTTCCTTTCAGATTTTACGCTCGTGACTCTGGCCTCCTGAAGTTTGAGATCCAGGCGGGACTCCTGGGGCGACCCATCAATCACACAGTGCGACGCCTGGTTGCGTTCACCTTCCACCCCTTCGAGCCCTTCGCCATCTCGGTGCAGCGCACTAACGCGGAGTATGTGGTTAACTTCCACATGAGGCACAGCTGCACGTAGCGCGACGCGTAGCCGGGCGGCTGCTCTCCTTGGGTCTGGGCCTCCGTTACGGACTCACCAAAGCTTGGAAACCAAACCTCCACTCCAGAAACCTGGCCTGGGAGCTCCTACCAGCCGGCATCTCGCAGGGTCCTCAGCTGAGGACCATTTAAGTTAGGCCTGTGAATGTTTCTTCTGACCCTGTTTGTACTGCGGAGGGTCCCGCTGCATTCAGCGCTGCTGCTGTTCCCTGATCCTATTGATGAACAAAGCGTAGCTGAGCTTCCTTTCCTGGTTTCCCAGAGGCACGTGCATTTTCTTTTGCAGGTTTTAGGGTGGCAAAGATGGAGCTTTGCAACACATTAGTGGAGTGCTCCCTCTGCACTGGCACCCTCCTGCCTTGTCAACACAAGCAGCCTGTCACAGAGGAAGCGGATGGAAGCCATGGGGAGGGCTTAGACATACAGCTACCTGTGCTTGTATCTTCAGTGTTACCAGGGAAATGAAATCCTGTTCTCATCCTCAAAACCTACGTGCTGCAACTGAGAGACATGAGGTGTGTTCCTGACTCTTATGCAAGTCACTTAATCTTTGTGCCTTAGTGAAGCTCCTAAGTGAAAGGTGATGTGTTAAGGGCAGCTGGCTGTGGCTCGAGTGCACGAGTAGGTGGGCACAGAAGGAAGATGGGTGGCTGGGAGGGGTGAGGGGAGCAACGGTAGCTCCTTGCTCACGTCAGAAGGACTTTTCTGCAGCATGGGGGGAGAACCCTCATGGCCATCTGCAGGTTCTGCTGCTGAGGGGAAGGGAGGCCCAGCTGCTGGCACCCTCCTGTGGGTTGGACAATTAGTAGCGTTTGGGTTTCGCTAGAAAGGAGGAAGGAGACCTGAATTAACGTGCATTGCTGCAGGTTTGCAGTTAGGAGACGAGCTTGTTGACTTAGGTTGCTTACCTATTCCTGTTTGATCTGCTGTTCTCTGTGAGAACCTGATTTGCTGTTCCCAGGCTTCAAAGCACAGCTGGCTGGTGCATTGATGCTGACTGGACCACTGCGGTGTTTATGCTGCTGATAAAATAAGCTCCTGGATGTAATATTACCTGCCTCTCTGGGCTGGTGAGGATGCTGGCCTGCCCTTCTCTCTGAAGAGTGGAGTTTTTGGTTGTAGATGAACATTTGGGGTTTTCTGCCCACAGGCAGACTGTGTGCTGCCAGGCAGTGCAACTACCCCAGCACCACGAGGTGCTCTGTCGGAAGCTGGAGCCTGCTGTTGTCTAATTCCCATGGGAAGTACAGAGAGGGCATTAGAAAATTGGTGCTTATACATGGGAAACCCTCTACTTTAAAGGACCCCGTGGGTGTCTTACTTGGACCAAAATGAGCTGTGGGTGATGTTTTGTGGCCACATACCTGTGAAGAACAACATGAAGTCATGCATTCATTTTTCATGGTGATGCACAGGAAAAAAAACTCTGTGGGTTGTTGGTGCCAGCTTATAGCATAAATAGTGCA